CCTACTGCCTCGAGCGCTGCTCCTCTGCGCCATCTTTGTATTTGAGCTTTCTGTCTATTGTTGTGTTCTCGCGGCGGTGGTTTGCGAGGGGTGGAAAAGGAGACTGAGGGTTTCAAAGTGAGACCCTAAACCCGCCAAGGTCAAGGTTTGGGCGGCTGGGGTGGGAATACTAGCTACGCAGAGCGAGCGCAATGGGGAGGGGCAGCGTGAAAGAAGCATAGGTAGCTGCCCCGTGAAGAGGCGCGAGCGACCACAGCGCAAACCCAAAGCCCTAAACCTCTAAACCTTAAGCCCTAAATCCTGAACCCTCAGCCCTAAAGCCTTAGCCCTAAGCCCTAGACCCTAAACCCGCAAGGCCTGGGAAACCATAGGGTTTTGTTTGTGGGCTCTATTCGAAAATTTTAAGCAGCGACAGGAAAGTAACGAGGATACCCATGTTCCCAAGGGTTTGAGGCAATTTCAGGCTATGGTTTAGGATGGTCTAGGGCTTAGGGTCCAAATCTCCACCCAAGCACCTCGGATGCACGCAGACATGGCCGTGTTGAAGGAAACCAGACTTGGCTGGATAGAACCTGGGTTCAGGGTTTAGGGTTTAGGGCTTGAAGGTTTTAGGGTTTAGGGTTCAGTGCTTAGGGTTCAGGGTTTATTATCAGCGAAGGAGCCACGGCGATTCTTCAAAAGACTGGATTTTCAAACATGGGGTTTCGGCTCACACAATAGGCAGAAGTAGAGGTAATCTCGCAAACCCTAAACCCCAAACCCACAAACTGCTTAGATCCTTAGCTGAGAAGAAGCCTGAGGACGACACGGACCCTTTGAGAATACTGAGGCTTTTTAGCCTTTGGGACTCCGGAGTCCGGAGGTTTGAGAAGGCTTGGTCGATAGGGTTTAGGGATTTAGGGTTTAGGGGGCTTAGGGTTTAGGGTTTAGGGGGTCTTGGGATTTAAAGTTTAGGGTTCAGGGGGTTTAGGGGGTTTAGGGGGTTTAGGGGTTTAGGGGTTTAGGGATTTAGGATTTAGGGTTTAGGTTTTAGGTCTTCTCAAAGCCATAGCAGGACACAAAAACATGCGAGCCTAAAGCTGCAAAGCCTGCAAGCTAGCTTGGGGGCTAGGCTTAAGCTCCCCAACACTTGAGAAGAGAACACGACAAACCCTGAACTCTGAATCGTTCCGAAGATGAACTATTACGATGGAGGCTCCGAACATAAAGGCTACACCATTTTACTAGGCAGCCCTCAGCCCCTCAACCCGGCAGCCCTGAATCCTTATGAGGCCAAGCGCAACATGGGAACTCTACGCAGAAGATTGGCAAAACCCTCTTCGAAAGAAACTGTTAAACCACATCAACACAGACACCCCTAAACCCTAAACCCTTAACCCTTAACCCTAAACCCTAAACCCTAAACCCCTAAACCCCAAATCTGAACATCCCCAAGCAAACACCCGTCTGCAGTTAGGGAACCATGGTGGAGAAGCTGCAAGGCTGCCTGCGATTCATGGATGCTACAGGTGTCTTTTAGGGTTTAGGGTTAGGGTTAGGGTTAGGGTTTAGGGTTTAGGGTTTAGGGTTTAGGGTTTGGGGTTTAGGGTTTAGGGTTTAGGGTCTCCATAAGGGGTTCCAGCAGGGTTTCCACAGGCTACCCCTGTACCCAAACCCTAGGCCCTGAACTTTGCGCGTCAGGATTTAGGGCTGATTAGGTTTTAGTTTAGGGGTTGAGGGTTTAGGGGTTTAGGGTTTAGGGTTCAGGCGCTCTCGCACCGAACTTAGTGCAAGATGCTGCGTTGATGCATGCGTCGTGCATGGTGTAAATGAGCGTACCTGTGCACGTGCATGAATCTACAAGGTCCTATACTCGTCTCTCTCTCTACAAAAAAAACTCGATATATCGTTATATACAGCCTATACATCTATATATATATATAAACACACTACATATATGTGGATATATACACACATATATATATATATATATGAGCGAGAGAAACATCTGTGCATGTATGCATATTACACACATACATACATACATACATACATACATACATACATACATACATACATACATACACACAGACTGAGCGACAGAGAGAGAGAGAGAGAGAAAAAAAAAATGAGACAGAGAGACAGAGAGAGACAGAGAGAGAGAGACAGCCAGACCGACAGCCAGCCAGTCAGCCAGACAGACAGACAGATACATGAATATGCATATGGATATATGTATGTATTTGTTTATATGACACATGTGTAAGTACCTGAGCAAATAAGAAAACAACTCTCTAAAAACATAAATGAATATATATATATATATGTGTGTGTGTGTGTGTGTGCATATGTCTTTGGTATATGCAGGTGGGTGACGAGGCAAGACACAGCAGCCTCCATACCGAAACAGTACATGCATGTGCTTTGTATGTGCATACGCCCATCGTAGCCATAAAATAAGTGCGCCATTTCTTCCGGTTTTCGCATTCGAATGCAAGAAGCTTGTCGTCAATGAGCACAACCGGCCTCCCAGCGAATGGCCCGCGCACAGGCACCGATGGCCAGATTCACAACCACGATGTCCACACCTTGCGACGATTGGAGGGCCTCCTATCCTGAAAACCCTCATGGGCCATGGCTGAGTACTTTGAGGAGCAGCACGAGGAGCTGCGTCTTACTACGCAGTTTGGGTTACTTCCCGGATGTTCTGAGGAAGTGACCCTAGACCTGTAGACATGCTGTAAGCGCAGCATTCCACACTCTTTTGATCTGGCAGGATTCAGGGCTTATCCAGACTCGTCACTGGACATCCTCGGCGAGCAAAATCCCGTAATTCTCGCTTCTGAAGAACGCAAACACACGAAAACACCTGCCTGAAAAAAGTGCCGCCAACTCAGACCTTTCAGCGAACCTCATGAAAGACACAAATAGCCTTTGTGGCATCCGACAGGGCCTCCAAAGCCCTAAAACCATAAACCCCGAGAGTAGTTTCCTAGACGCTTCAACCTCCCACCCTGGGTCCCCTCCACTAGATTATACACTAACCCAAGCCCCCGAGCAAAACTTCTACGCCCCAAACCCTCACTTTCCGGTTTAATCTTCTAGGGCGCAGGATTTGTCTTAAAATCGTAAAAAGGTTAAAAGTCTTGACACTAAACCCTATAACCCTAAACCCCTACCCCTAAACCCTAAACCCTTGAGATTCTTGGCTTCGTTTAGAACCCTAAACCGCAAACCCCAACCCCTAAACCCTAAACCCTAAGCCCTAAACCCGAAACCCTAAACCCGAACCCTAAACGCTAAATCCCAACCCCTAAGCCCTAAGCCCTAAGACCCTCAACCGTCGGTCTGCTGGCCTGGCTCGCTGAGGAGCGACAGAGCTCCCTGCCAGTCAGCGCCCTGTTCGTCGGGGCTCAATGGGGCTTGGGATTTCGGGCTTAGGGCTGATAGGATTTAGGTTTAGGGTTTTGTACCTCAAATCTAGCACATCATGTTGGCTACCTCGTCTCTTATATGAAAAGATCCTGTACCTAGACCAGAGAATGCGGCATTGTTTGGGGTTACCTTCGTTTCTTATGAGCTTTATCCTAACCACCAAACATGTCATCCAATAGAAAGTGCTACATTGAAGGGTCCGGGTAGGGCTTAGGAGCCACCAAAACCCTGAACTGGAGGCGATACGGTTTAAGGTTTAGGGTTTGGGTCTAGGGTTTAAGTCTCGGGCTTCTGCAGTGGGGTGTGGGTACTGCTGCTTCACTTCCAGGTAGCTATTCCCCTCAACCCTAAACCCTAAACCCTAAACCCTAAACCCTAAACCCTAAACTCGGAACTCCAACACTCTTTACCCTTCGAGCCTGTCCCCTAAACCCCTGAGACTCTACCTGGACCCTGAAGAACCTACCTTTTTAGGGCTCCCTGTGAAGGTTTAGGGTGTAGGGTTTAGGGTTTAGGGTTTAGGGTTTAGGGCTCCCTGTGAAGGTTTAGGGTGTAGGGTATGTAAGTCCGGAAAGAAGTAGGCTCTTCAGTGCCTGGGTAGACAAGATGCTTTTCGACGCCTTCCCTCATCTCAAAGAGATCCTCCAATCTGCAGGGTCCACCAGAACGGAGCCCAGCCCGCTGGATTTTCTACATGAATTCCACGACTTCACAAATTCGTAGTGTACCTTAAGAACCCAAAACCTACTTTTTTGTAGGGTCCCTATAAATCCCATATTAGGGTTTATAATAAGAACCTATAAAAAAAGTGGGTTTGGGGTTCTTAAGGTCTATCGAATTTCTAGACCGCACCCACTAAATCCGTGGAGGCCGGACCTCAAAGCTTCCAGGGTTTAAGAAAAAGGCCATCTCCAAAATCCAAAACTGTATAAATCCCGAACCCTAGCCTCCCAACCCTTACTTATAAAATTCATTACTTCCTCTAATATTAATAATTGGTCATTATACCCTAATTTATGTATTTATATAGTTCATGTATAAAAACCCCTAAACCCCGAACCCTACACTCTACACCTATAGCTCTCCCCAGGAGGCACCTTGCGGCAAGCAGTACAGCGCTGAGCCAGCTCAAGGCTTTCTGAAGCGATCGCCATGAGGACTACCGGCAGGACGGGCCCAAGCCCTCAGGACCCTTTAGGGCTTTAGGGATTACCTGTAGCCGAACTTTTTTTGGGTTCCTTTTTTGATGGTTTCTATTTATAGTTCCTTGAAAAGGTAGGGCTTTTGGGCCACAGGTAGGGTTTAGGAGGAGCCCTTGAGGATGCTAGTTTGGGGGTTTCCGAAAATAGGGGACCCTAATATAGTACCCTAAATAATAGGATCCTTATCATAAGGACCCCAAAATAAGGTACCCTAATTTTTGGAAACTCCCATTTTGAAGATAATGGGTATTCGGGCTGCAGGACAGCGTAGCTGCGGAGTCCAGGCAGTAGAATACAGCGTCTACCGAAACCCTAAACCCCAAACCCTAACACCACAGCCACCGAAATTTTGACCTGGCTTTCTTCTCACCCTGAGCAAATCTCAGCGAATGTCAAAGAAATCATTACCGTAGAGTTTGGGTTTGGGGGTTTAATCTATGGAACCTCAAAATGGTATTGGTAACTATATCTAATTACTTAGGCCCCTATATTAATTAAGTCTCCCACTCTGAGGTTCTAGGCGATTTGAATGAGAGACGAGGATTTAGAGGGTAAGCTGGATGTTACACGTATGCCCTCCATTCATGGAGTGAAAGCTGCATAGATGACGGTTGTCAGTCGTAGGATTAGGGCGTGTCTTTCGCGACGCCCAGTCGATATGGGCACCATGTGGGGAATCAGGCTTCGAGGCTTTCCCTTGAGTGAGGTTTCGCATGGGCCGAGGTTTAGCATGGGAGCCCTGCTGGCAGTACGTGCCAAGATATATCCGGATATCCGAATTCAACTTTGGTTCAGTTTACCTCAAATCATGATTGTGCTTTCGAGTATCCAAAAGTCCAGACACCCCGAAAGCCATACCTCAGCATCCCTCACGGCAAACATACACCCCGTGCAACTGCAAACCCACGCCGCCAGCCCGAATAATTAGACTACCGCTAAGACTTTTGTTGGGGGACTCGGAGCTGCGACTTTTTTGGGACCTTCGGAAAAGCACTGCCCAAACTTCGACTACCAATAAAAGGCAAAGAACCCTTAAAGGAACCCTCAAAAGAACGCGTATAGAATCCTTAAAGGAACCCTGCCAGGGTCTTTAGAACACTAAGATCCTCTTATAACCCCAACATATTGGGTTAATGTAGGGGCCTCAACAATTAGAATAGGGTTTTGGGCTCCTTTTTTGTGTAGTTATCATAAGGAACCCCTAAGGAGTGATATGGGTAATATTTTCTGGCTACTGTATTTTACTCCTTTCTATTCTAAGCCATGCAGTATCATGCTACAACTTTATACTATACTGCACCATGCCTCCATCAGCCAACGGGCCCAGCATCAGATCCGCAAAGAAGCTGAAGATGTACTCCTGTCCGCAGACTGAGAAGTGCAGGGGTCTTCGTAAGCGGGACGAGCAGTACTTGAATTGGGAATTTTAAAAGAAAAACAAGATGAGATGCTCTTGCTTAAACGAGTCCTTCAACGGGCTTGAGCGGCTATAATGATTATGGTGCTACTCGCCCCCCCCCCAAATTAGCAAATCAGACACAACAGCAAATCAGACACAACAGCCAGTGCAGGGTTTGCTAAAAAAAAAATGCAGTGCAGGGTAGTACAGGGACCGAAATCATCATGGCAGGACTTCCTGTACTTCGACCGACGTGCAAAGAAGGCAACCCTGAGTTGGAGGGTTTAGGATCTAGGGTTTAGGGTTTAGGATCTAGAGTTTAGGGTTTAGGACCTAGGGTTTAGGATCTAGGGTTTAGGGTTTAGGATCTAGGGTTTAGGGTTTAGGATTTAGGATTTAGGCTTAAGTCAGATTTAGGGTTTAGGGCCAAAGGGGCAAACCTACGATCCTGACATAGCTCCCCTTGACTACAGGAAGCGGGATGCCCAAATCCGTACCCATCGGCCCCATAGTAGTTCCTTTCTGGGTAAGGTAATCCTAAAAAGGAACTACTATGGGGCCTATGATAGTAGTTCCTTTCCGGGGTTCATATGGGTGGTTGTCAAAATTATGGTCCCTTTTGGGGTACCCTAAATAATAGGTGCCGTATTATAACAAGGACCCAAAAAGGGGCCATAATTTTGACAACCACCCATATGTAGAAACCTATAAGGTAATCCTAAAAAGGAACTACTATGGGGCCTATGATAGTGGTTCGTTTCTGGGGTTCATATGGGTGGTTGTCAAAATTATGGTCCCTTTTGGGGTGCCCTAAATAATAGGTGCCGTATTATAATAAGGACCCAAAAAGGGACCATAATTTTGACAACCACCCATATGTAGAAACCTATAAGGTAATCCTAAAAAGGAACTACTATGGAGCCTATGGGCAATCCTGAAGAGCCAGGTGCAGATTTTTTCGCTCGCGCCACCCGAAAATTTTGTAAAAGCAAGGGCTCATCTTTGTCAGGGTTCTGTGCACTCACTTTTGGGATTACGGGGCAGAGGCTGAATTTAGGAAAATGAGGAAAGGGTGTAGGGGCGACGTGCTGGAGGAACTCACTTCCTCTTGAAGCATTCACACAAGATATCAACCCCAAAGCCCTGAAACCCTAAAGCCCTAAGCCGTAACCCTCTAAACCTTTAGACCCAGCACACACAGTCCTGAAGCCTTATCACCAGCACCCTAAACCCTAAGCCGGCCCTAAACCCCATAGCCAGCATCTTCAAGGCACGGTGCTCTGGGGTTGAAATGGGGCTTGAGGAGATCAAACAGAATTAGGGTTTAGGGGTTTAGGGTTTAGGGTTTCGGGTTTAGGGTTTTGAGGGGACCATTGGGCTGGAGTTTTCCGGAGTGTAGTGTAACAGAACTATATTAAAAAGTTCGTCGGTGTACCTATAGTCTCCATTGTAGTTCCTTCTTTGGTTCCACCAATCTTAGAGTTAGGATTCCCAAAATGTAATCCCCCAAAAAGGAACTACAATGGGGACTATAATATAGGAGCCTTAATAATTTGAATCAGGTTTTGGGCTCCTTTTGTTTGTATAAACAACCTAACGGTAATATTGGTAATTATTGAGGCTTCAAACAACCTAACGATAATATTGGTAATTATTAAGGCTTCTAGGTTAGGCATGTTTTGATAGAGCTATAGAGCGACTACACGTAACCCGGCTACCTCTCTCGGGCTGGTTTGGCGTTTAGGGTTTAGGGCATATCTATCGATCATCTCTCGATAGGAAGAGATGATGATGTATAGGTTGCTGCAGTACCTATATAAAGAACCCTTAAAGTACGTACTATACTGGTGCATGGAGGCTAAAGGTGAGGTAACTCTAGTACGATACCCTGTTGGTTCATGTGCCCACATAGTATATACTTTGCCCTTAATCTCTAGATAGGCAGTTTAGGGCCAAAGTATGCACTATTTGGGCACCTGGACCCTTAAGGACACCCACTACCCTAAGATAAGAGATGCAAAACCTGACGACTATAGCCTATACACCAGAGAAGCCAGCACCGCTTGAAACATCCCTCCACATGCTTCACAGTGAGACTGCCCAAAAGCCACCGACACTCCTATCGGATGAACAACCGCATGCCGCAGGGTCTGGCACCTAATGGTACAAGTGTGTAGGGACTGTAAGGGAATGCTGGAAAACGCTCAGAATAGAGTAGCAATCGCAGTAGAACCGAACATAATGCTAAACGAACAACTCCTTAATTAGTGTATGCAGGTGCATTCGAGTGCTCCGCACCTTGGACTGAAACACACGTGTCCGGCTGAGATGTCACGCCAACGCCGCAGAGTGACAGAATTTTCTTGTCCGTCTTGAAACAAGGGGCCCGTGTACCTGGATTCGAGTTTTGGCATATGCCACGCTGTCAGTGTGTACAGAGTATAGGCCTGCGCGAGGATAGCGTTCAGGGTGCAAAATCAATCCTATATTACATTTCACATATTCGAATCACATGTCCATAAACCTTGCACCCTGAACCCTACCTAGACCCTATGACAGCCTAACAACTGTGGGCTCGTTATTATGAGTTCTTTACATAGGTCCCCAAATTTCGAGTTCAAGTAAACCCTACTTGAACCTCCGCGAGATCCCGAAACCCCCCACAAACTGCCCTTAACCTCTCACGGTTTAGGGGTTTAGGGGTTTAGGGTTTAGGGTTTAGGGGTTTAGGGTTTAGGGTTTAGGACCTAGTACCATAAGCCCTGGACCGTAAAGGCATTGCGAACCCGGTGGCATTTAAGAACCCTACTCAACCCAAGGGGCCGTAAGTACCTATAGAGTAGAACGTAGAGCTTCTATCATAGGACCTATAACGGTTTAGGGTTCAGGCACTCTCATGGTTTGGGCAAGTATTTTTTCATAAAGGTCCCTAAACCCTAAACTCTGGGGAACATTTGGGAAAGGCCCTTTTGAGCTTGGTTTTGTCGGGACGTAATGAAGGCTTCTGGTTTCATGTGGGAACCTGATCAAGAATCTGCGAGTGTGCTTTAGGGCTCTGAATATGCATCCTACTATAATGGTACGGCACCCTTATAAAAGGGGGCCTAAAAGGATAGGGCTTTGGGTGCAGGGTTTAAGACTTGAAGGTCTGAAGATGCCGAAAGAAGGGGTTTGGGCACTTAGAGCTTAGGGTCTCGACTCAGAGCATCCTTGCTCTCACTAGCCAGCTTTCTAGGAAGGATCTGATATTTGGCTTGATCATCTCTAGCGCCTTTCGCATTTCGGATCCCTAACATACCCTAACCCCCTACATCCTAAATCCCCTAATGTTTCTTGGGAGGTGTCTTTAAGGGTTCCTTTGAGGGTTCCTTTCCGGGTTCCTGTATAGGCCGCTTAACCATCAAACCCTCAAACTGGGCTGTAGCAAAGCCGATTCGAGCAAGGTCATGCTTGGAACGATAGCTACAACACTTGTGGAAGCAGAAAGAAGTAGCTGTACCCTCAAACTCCTGAGCCTACAGCGTTATCGGGCCCCTCCCGGTTTAGGGTTTAGGGTTTAGGGTAAAACCCTGAACCTTACAGGGTCCCTGCGCCACCGCACCCCACAGTAGCTTTCTGAAGCCTAGCGGTCTGCATGAACACCGCCCAGAACTGTAGTCTTGTTAAGGAACGAAATTTAAGTTGCTAGACCAGGGATCTATAGCATCTATTTCATGGGGAATCCTGGTTATGGCAACCTAAATCAAGCTCCTAAACCCTGAACCCTAAACCCGAAGCCCTCAACCCTAAACCCTAAACTAGGCTCCTGAGCAAGAGCCCCAAATCCCCTTCGAAAGCTTCTCGGTTCTGACAAGGTTTGTGTAAGTTCAACTCTGATAAAGTGCATATTTAGGGTTTTGGGTTTAGGGTTTAACAGGGGTAAGTTCAACTCTGATAAAGTGTATGTTAAGGGCTTTGGGTTCAGGGTTTGCTTAAAGGTGTTGCGGTTTAGGGTTTAGGGGCTTAGAGGTTTAGGGGTTTAGGGTTTTGCGTTTTAGGCTTCCTACACGGGACCCCTGCCACATGCGGGTTTTGTCTGCACCAGCGCCGATGACCCAGAGAAGGAAGGTTTGGGGGTTTTAAACCCTAAGCCCTAAACCCGAAACCCTAAACCCTAAACTCAAAACCCGAAATCCCAAACCCTAAACCCTAAATCCTAAATCCTAAATCCGAAACCCGAAACCCTAAACCCTTGTGTCTGGGGTCTGGGGCCGAGGGCTTCGGCTTATATGGGGTTTAGGGCTGTTGAACACGTTTTCGGTTTCAGGGCTTGTTAGAAGCATTGGCGATGGGTCTTTAGAACGGTTTAGCAAGGGGTTTAGCAAGGGTTTCGAAGCGCTTCTAGGAGTTTCGAACAGAATAGATGGGCCTTTAGTCTTAGACGGGGTTTTGCAACATAATATTTCCCAAGACAACCTACGGAACCCGATGAAAGACCCTACGGAGCAGCTCGTCATCGCCGTGTAAGACCACACTCACAAGGGGACATGCTTACATACTACCACTTCAGACCTCTAGCCTAAACCTTATGCTGTAACTAAAGCCCAACACCCTACTAAACCCGCGTTTGGGATGCCGGGCTTATGGCTGGGGCTCTTATTCTCAGACCTTGTTTACGTCTTCAAGGCTACAGGTTTTTAGGGTCTTCAGGATTTAGGGTTAGGGTTGCATATGGTGGCCTCAATGATTCGAGCGGGGCCCTGGTGTAGATTAACGCCGGATTGAAATGAGGAGCCCGAAGGAGAACGCATGGCAGTTTTTCAGGCCCCGGTAGAGGGGATTGAAGGGCTTCATGTAGGGTTTTAGGGTTTCAGGGCTTCACAGAAGGTTTAGTGTTTCAGGGCTTCATGTAGGGTTTAGGCTTTGAGGGCTTGAAAGTCTTATAGGGTCATTACGTGTTAGGGCGCCGAGGTCTTTTACGC